GTTGCATGCCTTTATGTCTTTTGCTCTTTGCGTTTGCCTGCGTTTTAGTACAGACAGATACTGTTTATGCAAAAAATAAGTATTTAAAGCATTTAAAGATATGGTGGAAATAGAGAGATGGACAGGACACATTTGGGACAAATGTTGCAGAGGAGACATTCCATTAATGGAAAAGCTGCATTTGTGTTAACTGTCTCAAGTGGCTCAAATATGTTGATGATTATCTTCTAATATGAAAATAGCTTTCTTCAGGCAGCGATGTCTTTCAGTACTCAGTAACTATACAGTGCTTGAAAGGATGGGCTGGGTTTTGCTGCAGGTGTTGTATAAGGTTAGTCAGTTTATTTCTGTTAAGATGTATCAGCAAAGAAGACTTCACAGAAGGAGCCCTTTAGGTAAGTATTTATATGTGTTGAGTACTTGTTCAAAGAAGTTGTCTTCTCAGTAGTGTTTCAAAATCATTATAGCACAGACAGAATGTGTTTTACAGGATATACTTCTGTATATTTTCAGTTCATACAAAGTGTGATCAGCTAGTTAGGTGAGTGGTTCTATGATTGACATCAGAAAGCTGTGGTTAATGGATTGTGCTCTACCTGAATGCTGATAAAATGGGGAGTACCACATCTTAGGACCTGTCCAGTAACTTTTTTGTCAGTGACCTGGAGGTGATAACTGGACTCTTGTCAAATTTTCAAGGGACACAAAATTGGGACAACATGGTAATGCTCTTGAGGGCAGTGCTTTCATCCAGAGCAACCTAGACATACTAGAGAAATGGGCCAACAGGAATCTTAGAAAATTCAGCAAGCTCAGCTGCAAAGTCTTGCACTTGAGTAGGAAGAACCCCTCCAATGACATAGGTTGGGATCTGATTGGTTGTGGAGGAGCTCTGCTGGAAAGGATCTGGGGATCTTGGTGGATAGCAAGATACACTGGAGCCAGCAGTGAGCTCTGACAACACAGCAGGTCAGCATGGTCCTGGGCTCCTTTAAAAGACAGCAATGCAATATATAATGTGACAGAAAACACACAAAATCACAGGTGATTACAGAGTTTTGGAATACTAAGAAATAATTAATAAAAGACAAAATAAAGCCCAAGTAAAATAAGGCAAAAATACTGAGATCAGGGTGGAGTTGAAAATCTGGGATTACACTGATTCTCCATCTTCATGTACTGAGTAATGATAACGTAGGAGAAAGTGCAGCACCGAGCAAACTGTGTTGAGTAACGAAGAATGCATCAAGATAAAATAATAAACTCATTGAGAAAATAAAAAAATGCTTTGTTACCTCACTCCATGTCATGCAGAACTTTGGAGAAACACACAGCTTGCTAGTAAAGATGAGTCACTGTCTGAGATTACAAGAGTCAAATGAGTGAATGCTGGAACAGTTGATAAACCATAGAATAAATGGTCACGAGAGCCCTGCTCTCATTCTGCTCATGCCCTTTGACTACTTTTCCTCCATTCAACTTTGTCTCTGATTTCACTAATTTTGAGATGTGAAACTCAGTTTGGGATGAGGATGCAATAATCTACTGACAGTGTCATAAATATGCTGTTCAATAGGAGTACATCTCACCTCACTTTTGACCAACAGATTAGCAAGCTATGAATTACTTGTGTTAACATGAGAGTTAAAAAAATTTGCGCCTGGTAGTAAGAAAAGAAGGATGAGGAAGAAAAGCTAATTGTATCCTCTCAGAAGAGGAATGATTTTCTTTTTCCTTTCGTGCAACACCTCTGTAAGAATACTCTTTGGTGTCTTTCTTTTTCTGTAGGTCCTATGACGTTTGTAAGAAAAGGAGACCAATAATTGAGTCATATGCAAGAAAATGATTATAATAATTAACATTTACATAGCATATTGTATGACAAAGGCATTTCTCAATTGACAACACTGATGGAGGATATAGTATACACACACCTTACTGTGATCAAGTGTGCAAAAAGTAAGCTTTTACACCTAGTGAACTCAATGCTCTATTACTGTGCTTTACAGAAGGAAGAGAGAATTTCATTTTTTTAAGGTTGTTTTACACATTTGCCCTGTTTTAGATTAGAAAAGTAAGGAGTTGAGTCACCTTGGCTTTGGCTTGTCAAAATAATCCAGACTGATAGATGAAACAGAACTGAGCCCAAATTTCAACAAAGGAATATTTGTATTTGGAAACAAAATGTAAAATCCCATCTCCTGCTCTCCCCAGCCCCTGTTCCCCCACCTTTCTCTTTTCCTTCCTTTAGTCTTGTTTTTACTATAATCGCTGGTCTGGGAACTATTAAAATAGAACTCGAAAAGCTCTGTTCTGCTCCCAGACTAGCAGTGATACCATCTTGTTGGAATCTCTGTTTTTGAGATCTGCCCCAGAGAGACCCAGTGAAAGCTGAGGTAAGCAAGTAAACGTTTGAGTATTTGTCTTTGTTACTTAAGCATTAATGTGGTGCTGAAGAGGAGGAGCTGTTAGGGGGCCAAATCTTTTGCATTTACATTACTTTTCCTGAACAAATGTGATCTGAGACTTTTCATAACTGTTCTTACCTCTTTTTTCTTGCCTTTTTGCTAAGGTTTATCAGCACAAAACTATCATGAACTGAGCCTCCTGCATTTAATCCTCTCCTGATGCGATTGTAGGAGTCAAAAATGGGTAATTTAATTTCAGGATTGTGTGGATGAGAGAATCCTGAGGAACTTCTGTGTTAGATAATTTCTGTTGTGAAGTGTGATGTACAAATTTTGTTTCTGTGAAATGAAACCAGAGACTGCCTCTGTTTAAATGCAGATTGTGGAGCAGCTCTCCAACAAGAAGAGAAATGCAATACCTGAACCCAGGAACTCATTCTGTTCCTGTGGTTGTTCTTTCACTGTAGCATGCAGCATTCAGTGAACTGCAGAAAGATTTAGGAAAGAGGAAAGCAGAAATAGGTGTGTTTTTTCCATTTGTTTTGTGCAACAGAAGTTTCCTACAAAAGGCCAGTCCTATAAGAAAAGTAGTGTACAAAATCACTTATTACATGGATGATACAGATGGAGGGAGCACACTGGAAAAAGAGAATGTTGTACTAGTGAGTTTGGACTCTCAGAGTATGTTTGACATAAATTTATGCTTGCATCTACTTATCAATATATAATTGTCTCTGATAAAACACGTACTTGATAAGATGGAAGGAAATGCATTGTGATATGGTTCTTTAAATTCTGGGCTGACCTGAGCTATTATCTACAGGAATGATCAGAGAGGAAGAGACCTGGAGTCTGCCAGACTTTCAAGGGGAAGGTTAAGTATTTGGCACACCAAACAAAGAAGAATTGTTTGGATAGTGCATAGAAGGAAGAGGAAAGGTGGAACTGGCAGCAGGGAAGCAAGTGGTTATGATAGCAGGAATGGGAGTTTATTTATCTCTGTAAAATGGAATAAAATCTGTGTTGTTAGATAGCCAAATAGAAGTATGTTTCTCTGAGATTTTCCTGAATTGAAACTGGCCTTTGTATAGTTTGCTGAAAGGTGTTCTGTGATCTTTAAAAGGAGAGTTAGTTGGCCATGAGACAAGCCAATAGAGTCCACTTTGCCGTACTAAAAAGATAGCCGTGTGTGATCCAGAATTAATTTTCCCATCCCTTCTTTTAAGAAACTACTCCGTCAAACAATCAGTTTTCTTTTTTAATTTTGAAATGGAAGAAACAGGATATGCTTCATGGAACATTTCTTTAAAAAGCATTTTATTTAAAAAAAAAAAAAAAAAAAAGGAAAAAGGACTACAACAAATTTGCTATGTGTGTCCAGCTTTCTGTGCTTTCTGTCACTTGGAACACTTTGGCCACCAGGTGTGGTCAGTGTTTTTGGATACTGCTATCCATCCCCATGTCCTTTTTAATATCTTTACATCTCATCCAAATTGTAGCTGCTGCATTTATCTACTCTTAGCACTCATATAAAACAACCCACTTTCAGAGTCTATATCCTCACAAAGACCCTTGTGTTAATGGTGTATGGAAATTTCCATAGGGGTCTGCCTATAATGTTGACTTTCAACTCACTATTTCCAGATTTGAATTAGTAAATCAGAAAAATATTTTCTTGTGTTTTTGATGAGGAAGAGCAATGACAGGGAGCAGAGAGAGAGAGAGATCACTGTTTAGTTTAATAAGTGTAACCTCTTTGGCTCTGCTTTTCCTTATGCAGAGACCAAATTCTTCCTTATTCATTTGTAATCTTTTTATTTTGCTCCACCCTTTTCTTTCCACCCTCTTAGTTATGGGGAAGACCAAATATTATGCCTATTTGGCTCATTGTGCAGTGAAATAGATTTTAGTGGAATTAACTAATGGTATTTTTTTTACATTTACAATTATATAGTTAATGAGAGGGTCTGACCTCTGGCTGATGCATTGCCTTTCTGCTTTTACTGAGTATTCTTCCCAGTGACTCAACAGCCGTGTACAAAGTGACAAAATCGTGTATTAAAAAAAAAGAAAAAGAATGTTTAGTTTTGAAAACACAAATCTTTCACTGAATAAATATTTATCTTGCCTATTTATAATGTCAAGTCAAGCGTAAGTGGTATTAATTTTGCATGAAGGAAAGCCAAGTCTAGAAATCCTAAGCAAAATCTTGAAATTGCAGAAATGTTGAGTTCAATAGAACAGCAGATGTCTGAGCAGCGTGAATGCTAATTTTGCAGGTTAAGTCCAGCTTTCTTTGATAAAGCAGTGAAAATATTTCATGGAACAGTTTTCAGTTAATGAAGGTTTTGAAACATCTGATTTTATTTGTGTGAAATTTAAGTGGGCAGTCAAGAATCTATCCTATGAGGTGGAGGGACCCTGTGGAAAAAAAAAAAAAAAAAGCACAAGATGATTGTAGGGGGAGCCTGATAATCTTTTTTTTTTTTTTTTTTTTCACTGCTAATTCTCCTTTTCCAGTGGGAGTGAATGATGTCATCCTGTCTCCTCCCACTGTGTGAACTACGCTTGTGTCAAAGTGTTGCTGCCTCTTGTCACAGAGAGAACCGTTCCCTTAAATGCAGCTGCAGTACTTTGGTGTGATACCTGTCAGAATCATTCACGGTGTGAGCTTGGGTTTGTAACCATGATGCCAAGATTGGTCCTTCTCCTTTTCTGTGGATATATTGCAGTAAACCTGGGAAGTGCTCAGAAATTGCCCAGAGGCAAGTAACTATGACAACTTTCTGGGGTTTCATTTGTTTTTCTTCTGCTGTTGGGTTTTTGTTTGTTTGTTTCTAATGCTTGTGTTCTCCATGGAAATTTGCTTTCAACAATATAGGAAAGATTGAGATAACTAAAAAGATAAAAGAAGATCAGTCAACAGGGTCCAAGGTCCAAGCACCAGAGAGTTACTTTAGAGCTCCTGAATAAAACAATTAGAAATGCTTTTATTTAATCTTGTGACTATGACAAGTACTGTGAAACAGTGTAACTCTATTTATCGTGATTTGAACAGCGTTGTGAAGGTTTCTGGTGTAGGATCTTGAAGAAAATGTGACTTAAGAAAGCACTCTGTGCTGCTGGCAGATGATTTCAGCTCTGTCTCAAAATAACTTTTATGCTTTCCATTTCTATCTACCATTAGCATTTGGATAGGAAATTACTTTTATAGGTCAGACTGCATGTATTTTGAGAGAGAAAAACATGATTATTAAAAACAATTACATTTCAAACTGTTCTTTCCACAAGAAAAATATATTCCCCGACCTTTGAGAATATTTAACTCTTCCTCTTTCCTGGAGTCTGGAGGTACAATAGGTTTACATAAATGGTAGGAATCCTTTATCTTCTTTGCTAATGTAATCTATGCAGTGTTGTCTTTTTACTAGTACTTAATGCTGCAGAAAGAACAGTCTTTGCATAAAATGAAATATTTTTGTATCTAGATCGTAAAGCACTTTGTAGTACTTTGGCATTAAGCAGCACTTTCACAACTGTTTCTGTACTGCACGTATTGCTCTTGCTTTGTAGATGTGCTTGCCTGAGTGCGCTGTGCTTTGTAATGGATTTTACATCTGCAATATGCTGCAACCAGGAACAGTTAAAAAAGGAAGATGTGGTTTAGTTCCTTATGACAATATTCAGTAAGAAATCAGCACTTTTGGGGCTTCCTATGAAATTCTGATTCACTGGTGGGGAACCTAAAAATTTTGGGGAGAGGTGACTGGGGGAGAGAGAGGCTGGATGTGGCACTGGGCAGCCTGGTCTAGGGTTGGCAACTCTGCACATAGCAGGGGGGTTGAAACTAGATGATCACTGTGGTCCTTCTCAACCCAGGCCATTTTATGATTCTATGATTTTCAAGCCCCTGCTCCTCCCATCCTTTATTTTTTTAGGTTTTCTTTTTTTTCTTTTGGTGCTCTTCTGAAAGTTACTACTTTTTTTTAAGCTCATCTTCTGGACTCAGTGTGGAGTTTTCTGCATACTGTTCATGTGGAGTAATGAACTGTGAGCAGTTGATACTGTGGAGTATCAACTGCAAGCAGTTGATAATACTGTTCTCATTCATGTTGAATAGACTGCAAGACATGAGCTTTAACCAAAAAGCCTTCTATAAGTAAATTACTGTAGCAGTTCTCATAGCAGAAAATTGCACTGGACAGAGAGGAACATCCTATGTATTATCAATTTTGAAGGAAGAAAATTTTCTGGTATTTGTCATTTTAAACTGTTTCACTTGATATTCTGCTCACTAACATAGAATGATTGCTTTAAATTTACTGTGAATTTCAGACAAAGTTACTGATCCTCTGCAGTCAGTGTAAGATTAATTCTGGGATACATTTTTTTTTTTTTTTTTTACTGTCCTAAAATAACATTGCAGAAGTGAAGCTCTGCTTGCCAAATGCATACAGCTGCAGGTGGAAACTTCATTTCATGTCAGTGAAATAGTTCTTCAAAGGGTGGTGAGGTACTGGCACAGAGTGCCCAGAAAGGCGGTGAATGCCACATCCTTGGGGACACTGAAGGCAAGGATTGAGGGGGATGAGCAACTTGGTCTAGCTGTAGGTATCCCTGTTCATTGCAGGGGAGATGGACTAGATGACCTTTAAGGTCCCTTCCAACTCAAATGACTTTCTGATTCTATGATCCTAAAGGTTCTCCCATTGCACTGTTAAAATATCAACTTTTTTTTTTTTTCACAACATCGCGGATTAGTATTTACATTAGACTGTTGAAAAAAGTATTTTAGTACTTACCTGTTGTCTGAAAATGTGCAAAGAATTGTCTTTGTCTACAATGCTCTTCTGTTTGGCAGAACATACAGAATGTTTTCCTAATCAAAGAGTATATTTCGGTCTTTAGGTAGTTTTAGAATGAGTGGTAGTATTCTATAAAATCCACTGAGCTGCTTTCCTCTTCAAGTTGCAAGCTACTTAATTGAGCCTCCACAGGGACCAGTGGAGTCAACTTGATAACTTGAGGGAGAATAATCTAACTGATTTTGCTTTGTAATTATGTACAGACTCGTGAACAAGTTCTCTTTTCATTCTTAATATTGCTTTGGAATTCTTGTGCTCAATTTATCTCTCCAGGAGATCTCTGGTCTTGTGGACTGGGATTTCCTTTTAGTGATAGAAGGTGGAAAGAACATCTTGCCTCCTGCAGCTGCAAAGGAACAGTGCCAATACACCCTTCAGATGTCAGTGACTTTCAGAACTATTGCAGAGGTTTTGTATGGATGTGCTGTTCAGGAAGCTAGAACACATGTGGTTCACTACACCAAATATATGTGTTTTAGCTTTCACCTCCACAAGCATTGATTTGCGTAGAATGACAAAGAAAGTGTTGTTGCTGTTCTCAAATGTTCTTTACCAATAAATTATTTTAACTACTTTGACTCAGAGGGCTGGGCAATCAACAATCATGTGAAAGTCAACCAGAGCAAGTGCTGAATTCTGCACCTGGGCACTGGATTCTGCACTGGGCAACCCTGGATCCGTGCACAAACAGGGGACATGAGGCTGAAGAACAACCTCATACAAAGGAAACTGGGGGTTCCGGCTGTTGGCAAGTTGAGTGTGATCCAGCAGCATGCCCTGGCAGCCCTAAGGGCCAACCCTGAGGTATATCAGCTCCACCACTGCTAGCTGTGTAGAAGGGTTATTGCACTCTGCTCTGTGCAGCCTCCCTTCCTGCACTTGGTGCAGATGTCCCACAGAAACTTCATGATGATTCTATATGTTCTGTAGTTTTATTTATGTAGAAAACAGGCCTATGTGTATTTCTGGTGGTGTTATAGTGGCCTCAGTACGGATGAACACTACTTGTCTGGTAATTTTTCGCCACATTCACTGTACCAAAGAACAAATGATGAGTTGGTTATAAGCTGCGTCACAACTTTTGTGTCAGGCTCTTAGCTATTGTAAGATTTTGCAGTATATACATATATTGTGTAAATACAGGTTTAATTGAAAAGAAAAAGTTGGTTGGAATTATGTTTTGCCATAAAAGCAATACCTTCTTTACTATTATGTTTGTTTTTCAGTTGCTGGAAAAGTTCTGTAGTCCACGCAAGTGCTATCTATGTGTGGGGTCACAAAATCTCAGAGCAGGAAATACTGGTATTTTAGGTACCTCCTTCTGTCAAGTATTTGAGCCACTGCTCTTTCAGCTATACCTAGCTTCTAGATTTTTTTGTTTCATCAGAAAGGAGAGAGGCTTGGGCATTTTTTACTTGATGTTATCTCTTCTTTTTTCCACTAAGCCAGTGCTATCCAATGTGTAATGCTTCACTTCAGCACTGTTACACTTGGAATATTTTACTGATGCAAATGATTCATAAGAGGAAACAGTTGTGGTGCATAGGTGTCAGAGTTATTTTTTGTCATACTTTCTCTGATTTTTATGATTCCATGAAGCATTAATGTTCCATCCCTGGTGAAGACAGTGTGGCCTTTCTAGACAGGAACTGATGCAAAGAAAAAGCCTTACCTTTAGAGGATGAATTAGTAAGAAGAGCATCCTGAACTTGAGAGGGAGATGAAAAAAAGCAAAGCCACAGAATCGAGAATAAACAAGTTAAAGGACATAATCCACAAGTCTGTACTGCCTTGTAAACTGTATTTCACTGGTATTATTCCAGCTGGACCCAATACAGATGTTGTTTAAGGCAACAGTGGTGGAACAAGTTCTTAGTGTTTGGTAAAACAGCATTTCATGGTTTTGACTTCACCAGTTGACTTTCCAGTTACAACACAGATGTGCATAGAACTGCACTTTTTCACTATAATCTGTTTCTGATAGTTTTTGTATATCTTCATGTTCTGTTTTCCTTTGTTAGAGCTGAAAAGAATTTGGAGTTAAGCCCTTTTTATAAACTTCTAACTTTAAAACTTTTTCAAAAAAGAAATGTTATTCATTCATTTATTTTGCTGTGTTTCTGACCTTGTGGCTTTCCTACTATTTGAATTAGTCATCAGGTAGACTGGAATTCAGGCCCAACCTTGTTCCACTTTCCAGGAGTCAGGCCTGTCCTGTTCTGCTTTCCAGGAAACACTAGGGAAACCTTAATTCACCTTAATTCCTTGTTGCTGCCTTCTAAGGAGGAAAGGAATATACTTGAGATGCCTCACGGGACCATGTGAAAAATCCTGATTTACAGACCTACACAGGGAAAACCAGATCCCAAACTTTCTTGTTTCTGCAGTTGGCATCTGTGGGGATAAGTGGAGAAAATAGTAGTTTTAATTTATCTTTTTGTTCGGTAAGTATAGAGAAATGTTAGAAACTATTGCAGATAAAACCAAATTTTAGCTATTGGTTATGGAAAGTATAACTGATATCCCTTTGCAAGAACATGGCATTTACACTACAATTCCAAGCTTACCATTGACACTTACGAAAGGAATGGGCTAATTTAATTCCCTGCTAAATTTGTTGCCTGTGCTATGTTATGTAATACTTCTTCCTAACCAGATATTGAACAGCATGTGTTTTTACTTACTGGTGTCAAGTAGTTAAAACAATGTTGAGTTATTACAATGCATCATAGTCACTATACTACAACAGCCGAGTTAATCTTTAAACTTTTGTGCCACATGCAACTAAACAGCACCCCTCTGGTAGCTGTAGGGTAAAAGAACAGAAAATGTAAAGTAGGAAAAAGATTGAAATGTATTTATTTGAACATATGAAGAAGGTGTTGTGTCAAAATATTTCA